TTCCAAGAGACGGAAGGTGGTAAGTTGAAGACATGTCGACACCGCACTAGAGCTCGTACGATGTGGGGCCGTCCTTATACCATAGGCGCAGGACATGGGAAATAAATATAGGATATTGATATTGCCACGGGTGGTCGACGGAGTGCGGCTTCTATGTATTCTGATGGATCCGCGAGGGCATGTTCATGAGGTATAGCTGGCCTGTTCTCTGAGAAATCAGTTAGAGAGTAAGCCAATGAAGTGGAGGACGAAGGTTACATCCTTTCGACGTTCCCATTCGGATGGGACTTGAAAGAGCTACCTGTCCTCACTCAGCGGAGCCGGAGCTAGACTGTGGGGCTGACACGGAGAAATATCGTTTTAATATCATCCTACAGCGGGCTGATGATCATGATTATGATAGTGCATGTGAGGGGTTGGGGCGAGTCCTAACCAAGGGGCGAACGTCATCAACTCGAATGATTTGCGGTTGATGAGGTACCTATGAGGAAAGAAAACTTTATCACTGGCAGTAGGATTCAGGAACTGTTTATCGTATCGGGGAAATCAGAAGAAAGAAGTAGGATGAAGAAAACTGACGACCGAAGATGATCATCGTACAAGGTCCCATGTGGGCATTGTAACTTTGTCTATGTGAGAACCAAGGTGTCTTACATTCTAGGAGAGACAAGCGCGAGCACTGAGGAGGAAACACTTCCATACCTAAGGACCAATCTTTGTGGTGATGTGAATACTCGAGTCTCGGAGAGCGTCTCTGGAAACTATGAAGGAGGTCCGCGAGTGCTTATCATTCTAGGAGTCAGGACGAGGCCAAACTAGCGTTCACTTCCAAAAAAAGCATTCTGGTTCTCGCGGAGTTTTGATTAGTCAAATGGATAGAACGGATGGATGTAGGAATCTGGGCAGTGCTGGATAGCGAATGACCAGCCTCGCCATGGCCCAGGAGTTATAGCAAAGCGTAAGCCAAGAAATAATACAGGCGCATGTGCTCCTTGAACTGAACAGGACAAAGAAGGCAAAGAGAGCCGGTTAAAGATGGCAGCCATGATAAAGGTTCAGATAACCCACTAAGTAGTCTTGGGACCGGAAGAAATGAGTTAGGAAGATGAGCTGGGAACGCTAAGCGGAGGCTTTGCGCTGCGTGGAATGGCATAGTGTGCGAAGACTGTGGCGGCCTTTCGACGGAATGAGACGAAAGAAGCATTCCAGCGTGTATTTTTCATCGGATGTTTTGGCTAGCCACCCACCGTCCATTTAAATAAGTGATCTCTGAGCAGTGAAATTTTTTTGTTGATAATGCCAGTGGGGTATCAGGGTGGTTGAATAAGAACAGTGGACGTGTTACCGGCATCAAGGATTGGCGTCGTGGATTAACAGTACAGAACAGCGCCTACGGCAACCGGATGCGTCTGTCTTCGACGCGGTCACTTGAATACCAGCGACCAAGACGGGTCTTCGAAGTTCGGAGAATGAAGATTCGGAAGTAATTCGGATCGACTTTCGATCAGGTGACTTTCGTTTGGAAGGTGGGCGAGTTCGTTTCGCACTCACCGATCAGGAAACATCAAGGTTCAGCCATTCTTGTGACGTTTACTGTTAGTACTACTCGCGCTCGATGTCGGAGCCCTTGAATTTCATGTTCAGTTCGATATATTCGCATTGCACTACTAACGGTCATCCTAGCTACTGACTTCAAAATCGTTGCCTGTCCAATGTTTATTTCTTGGATACACAGCCGATCTCCTACTACAATTTTAGACGGATCACATTCGACGTCGAGGATTTATCCTCGGTGCAATCCAGAGTCGCCTAATGCTCCGGTTGTTCTTCTGACATCAATTAGCCCCAGCAATGCAACCACTGTGAACCTTCGTCCTATCGTACGTACTACCAGGGCTGAGTGTTGTTCGATCAAAAAGGAGAGAGCGGATAGGTCGGTTTCATCCATTATGTGGGCTAGTGGGAACAAAATTCGTTCTCGCAATTGTACATGCTTCGAGCGGGATTCGAACCCTGGTATCTGTGATAGCCATTATACGAAGGACGTGTCCGTCAACCTTGGTTGATATGGATGGTCTCGTGAACGTGTAGCAAACCCGGGAGCATGGATACATGCCTTTTATGTTTTCAAATTACGAAGGATTATCAGTTAGTACTGGTTTTCTCAGAAATTTTTTGAGTATTGTATTTACTAGCAATCATCTTGGCTATTGACTTTCAAAGTCCAATTTCGCGACTTGGATTATTTCTTGGGTCTGCTCCCAGTCTCTAGGCCACCAATTCCCTACTACAACTTTGACGTTTGGAGGAGTTGCATTGGATGTCGAGAACTTATCCTCACCGGAGCCGCGCTAATGGTCTAGTTGCATAAGTAGTCCTAGCAATGCATGTCTTTAGGACTGCTGTACTGCCCTATCGTACGTACGATCATGGCTGAGTACTGGTCACGCCGAGTGCCAAGTAGGGGAGGAGGGATTCACGCTAGTTTTATTCTTATATAGGCTAGTAGCAGAAAAGGAGACCGAAAGTCTCGATACTGGGAATTGTTGTTGGCGGAGTTGCAAGTACACCCGTAGTCGGGCCTGCTTATACCCAAGAACTTATTTCTGCTTCTTTGTTTATTTCTTACATACATGGTATCCACGATGGACTCCGAAGATACATATACTGATGTACCTACCTATGTGCACCTCAGACGTTCTCTCATATCCCGAATGCAAGTCTGTGGTGAGCATTCTTGTATTTATTCGTGCTCAGACACTTTTACTTACAACTACTCGTAGTTACTATTATTCTAGGTGAATGTAGACGTTCTTTCGTATCCCGGGTCCGAGTCTGAGTTACTATTATTCTAGATAACTACATCCGAGCTCTTATAATTGTAACAGCCATTATACGAAGTGCGTGCCCGTCGACTTGGTGTTGATATAGACAATCTCTTACGGGGCCACGGCAACTCTGCACATTTTTTGAAGTTACGGGGGCGGGACTCCCCACGATGATCAGGCGCTTGATAGCAGAAGCCTCAGTCCAACTGCGATATTCGAAGGTTCACGTTCATGTTGAAAGAGTGCGGGAAACTGTCGTGAAGATACGTACATGGAGCGCGCGCGGCTGTGCAAACGCTGTGGAAGTCGGCATGTGGAAAAGCAGCGTCCTACGTCTCGACTCTCCGACTCGGATGCTTTGTTAGCTATCATCCATCGGGATCGGCGCTCATGGCACCTTGGGTTACAGTGCGATACACTCGGAGACCGTTGAAGGAAGAAGGGTATAGACGCCGCGAGTAAGAATGAGTGTAAGGATGGTAAGCAGAGGTAGTGAAGGTAAGTACTCTGAACTGTCCTAAAGTGACTGTTGGGTGGCAACAGAACCTAACGATGAGAAGATTAGGGAAGCCGATAGGTAGAAACGCGACGGACGTGATATCGGCACCAATATATGGCCGTTGCAGAAAACAGCCGACGGCAAGCGTATGTTTCATCGGTCTCAGCTCGCCGCGGGTGCATTTCGGTTAGATGACCTAGCGTTCAGCAAAAAGCAGAAAAACATGCAAAATTGCAGTTTCCGTGGCGAATTCCGTGTCGACGTCGAGCGCAGATGTTTATCTCGTGCGGATAGAAGATGCATACCAATCGACGTCATCAGGATATTAGGAGTCAGCCCCCTGAAACGAAAATACAACCAAATAAAGTGTCCGAGGTAATCAATCTGTCACGTTTCTCCTGTTTTCTCCCTCCCTCCATCCCGCCCACTGCTGCGCCCGCCTGTCCCTCCCAAGTCACCGTCGGTCGTTCCTTCATTCACGATTTCCTTCCCTGTTTTCCATCGACTCTCCGGACTCATACGACCACGCCCAAAACGACGAACATGCGGTTATCACAAGTCTTGCCTATACCCCTCGTCGTCGCCACCGCTGCCTCTGGTGCGTTTGTGCTGCCCGCCCTGATGGGTTTTTCTGATGTTTTGCAATAGCGTACTTTGTGGTGACGGCGCCAGCAGAAAATGCGCAATGGAGGAACGGCGCTGTGAATGTGATATCCTGGGAGAAGGGCGTGCTAGATGGCATCGATTCGTTCGATGTGGAGATGACGAGGCTCAGTGAGGACGGGCTGACTTATATCGCCAGTACTGGTGCGTGCACATGTCGTTTTTTCCAACCCTGACCCTCATTTTTCACTAGTCCCTGCCGACAAGGCGTCACCGTCGTCATTAAACGTATACCTCGAAGATATCCCAGCAGCCGATGACTACTTCCTGCTATTCCTCAATTCGACACACGGGGTCATGTACACCACCTCCCCCCGGTTTAGCGTCCTCAATTCCTCCAGCACCGCTACGTCCGCGTCTGGCTCGACGCCCACGCCAGATAGTGCCGCTGCTACCGTCACCGTCAGCGGATCGCCGAATCCAACACAGGGTTTTGTGACGACCTTTGCGGCTGTGTCAAGCGCACTGCCAGCGTTGGTGGAATGGAGAGCTCTCATGGGTATGGGTGCAGCGCTGGTCGCCGGCCTTGGTGGTGCGCTATGCGTGCTCTTCTAGTCTACCTTTCTTTGGGTTTCTCTGCTCGATATGTCGTGTCGCGATTGAAGGAAAATGACGATTGGATGGACCTCCCCTCGCTTATTCATGCAAAGCCCCTCGTTATACCTACTTTATATTTATGTCTCGGGCCTAATGTACTAGGATTCTCTTACACTCGCATTTCAAACATGAATCCCATGATCGCCGCGATTTTCGTGCTGCGCTGTGGGGTTTACACTGCGCATTCACGCTTGCGTCTGTCGCCACCGCCGCATTGACGTACACTTGTCTTCGCTACCGACGGGACAGATGCATGTGGTCAATCCCGCAGTCTCCGGTCCTCGCTATAATGACTGTAACCTACTTTGCATAGACCTTATTCAAAGGACGTCAACCATTTGAATTTTTAAATGTTTAAAATTTGTGCCTTTCATCAAAACTCACGCAAAACTTCAGGCTTGGGACCAACTGGATGCATTAGCGGGGAATCGAACCCCGAACGCGGCCAATGCTGTTGGGAAGACCACATGTTAACCATTACACCACTAATGCATAAAAGAGATCGGAATGGCAACCTTTATAAATTAGGCACTAAATATAGCTGTCCGCTGCAAATTATCATCTATGTACAGTAGATAGATCATATTTCTGGCTAGACATGCCAGTATGCCAAATCATGATGAGGCGCCGATCACCTAGGCAGCTTGTGTTCCCATCTTAATGACCACTTGATGACCACTGAGTCTCCTGACTTGACACGACCCTAACAAAATGTCCTTACTCATGGCAGCATAGTCATTGGGGTATATATCTTGAATGCAATGGCGCGTTTTCTTAATATTCATCTATTCGCCGACACGATCGATCACGTTGGAATGACACGACCCTGACATTAATGTTTAGGGACCTTGTGCCGGTATCATTCTATTGCCACAATCAAAATCCCATCAAGAGCACGAAGAGCATCATTACTGCCATAAGCTCATAGCATCCGCCCGAAAAAACGCCGCCATCAACGAAAAAGTGCTCAAGCTAGTTACGGTTCCACATATAGATTATGATTAACGGCGCAAGTCCCAATGATACAGCATGTACACTAAAAGCGAATAGAAAGTAAAACTCAGATACCATATATATCCTCGACGCCCAACGCGTCCTCGCAGCCAAACCACTCGAGCCACTCGCTGACATGATACCGCCCTCGCCTCACAGGCCACCTCTCGAGCTCGAAACCTCCGTCTTCGCCTTTCCTCCCGCTTTTCTTCTTCCTGTGCACGGTCCAATATGTGGATCCGACGCGGACAACGCGTACCATGGGGAACCCCTGCTCGACGATACCGGCGACTTCGCCAGTGCCCATCCCGCTCGTGTCGAGCCCGATGAATCGCAGACCTGGGGGCACCCCGACGCGAAGATCGCGCATGCCGGCGACGAGTCCGTTCAGGGTGAGGCTGACGACGCTTCGGGGGATGAGCCACGCTGCGAGACCAGGTGCTAGATCCCGCGGGTAGGTTATCCCCAGTCCTTTGAGACCGGTGAGACTTGGTAGCACACCCCACACTGACGCGTCAAAGCCGACGGCTTTCTGAATGGGCTCGGCGGGGACGAGGAGAGAGAGCGTACGAAGGTCGATGCGGCCTCGTAGGAACTCGGCTATGGAGGGGAACAGGTCGCGGTCCGTCAGTCGTCGGTTCATCGCTTGGACGGAGAAGGCAAAGTGTCGGAGGAAAGGAAGCTCGCCGTGGGCGATGCGGAACTGGGACGAAGGAGCACAGTCGAGGAGGCAGGTGAGGGAGAGCGACTCGAGTTGCCTGCCGTGATTGAGAATCGTCCCGATGGCCTGGCTGTTGAGCGGAAATTGTCCCAGGAAGTGGATGTGGGTGAGGTTCCGGAGGGAAAGGGCGTCGGCGGGGAATACCCATGCTGGGTTCTCCAGGGAGAGCGTTCGTAGTGTCGAGCGATGCTGGGCAAGGAAAGCATGTGGGTTCTGTGCCCCGCCGTTACCACTGCCACCACCGTGATAAGCAAAGTTGGCGATATGGTTCAAAGTGAGGGTGCTCAGCTCGAACAGCCCGTCAGGGACATGTAGCGAGAGCCCATTCAGCTTGGGCGAACACGACTGGAGAATCTTGAGCACGGGCAGGACCCCGTCGGCGCTCGAAGATATGTGTACCCTCCGTAGATTTATCATCTTCGGGAGAGCATTCGACAGGATTCCTGTCTGGAACGAGTTGTGGCTGTTTACGGTGGCGAATATCCGGAGGGTGCGGACGACACGGGCGAAGGAAGGGTCGGTAATGACGCGGGTGAGGATGTCGGCCGTTCGTTGATCTCTGTCTCTTTCTTTTTCCCATTCCCCGCCTTCGCCCTCGTCGAATGACTGCCCTCCCTCACCCTCGCCGAAATGAAGGTCGACTTTTCGGAATAGAAGCTGCGACGCTACGCGTGATAGAGGATGGGGGACCGAGAGGAGTGTTTTCAAATCACGACGAGGAAGAAACAGCGCTATTTCGCGCCATACTTCATTAGAGATCCGATGCCCCGTGGGAGCGAGAAGCTGGCGTTAAATTTGTCATTACTCTGGTTCGTAACTGAGACGGTACTCACCTTCTCCACGGCGACAGAGCGTTGGTGAAGCAGTGCAGTTGCTTCTGGATTATCGGGTTCTGCAAGCAGGGCTGCGTGGAGATCTGAGGACCGACTGTGAGCGGTATTCCGGTACAGATAGGCATTGTAACGAACCTTCCTGGGCGCCTATAAACGAGCCGGCATCTAAGCGCAGACGAGCACGTAGGATCCGAGCCTTGGCAACGATAGATGGGGAGAGTGCATGGATCGATAGACAGGCCTGGATAGCGTTTTCGATAACGACTTTATGTCTACCAGTCGCTGTTAGTGAAATGTGTTCGAGAGTTGGGAGTGATTGCCAGGAAACACACACCTGGCATACTTGAGACTCGTCATTGCATACAGCAACAGATCCGCTTTCTGGTTATCTGAAAGGCAGTATGCAACATCCCGAATGCAAGCATCGAGAATTTTGGGATTGAAAATATCCATGGATTTAGGTGTTCGGCTAGCCAGGATGGTAAAGATTGGCAGCACAAGTGAAAAGTGACGATTTATATGGACAGAACAAGGCGAAAGGGTCAGGACGGGATGACGAGACGACTGGGAGGGTATACTCGATGATGATGGAAGCAAACGAAAATGTTCCAATGCGCCCGTCATCAAAAGGCCTGGACTCGGAGATTAGATTAGATCACTCATGCGGATTGGCCGTCGCCCACTTGCGGATCAGCCGATCTAATCTAGGCTAGGGACAAGAAGCGAATAGACCTCTCAGCGGCAGGTAATTCTACGACGTTCATTCGCCGGAGCGAACGAATTGAAGCTGGCGAAATATGACTGGCCAGCGCAACCTTATTCCATGGGAGCCCGAATAGTAGCTGTATGGGGAGTGGAGAATGACGGCCACAGAAATCTTTTGACAGGGCCCTTGAGCGAGCAAATGAACTGAATAAAAATCTTGTGACAGTAAAACTCAAGTGGCATGAGAATGCTTGGCCCCGGTTTCATACGATCATACAGCTGCGCGGCGCTAGAGAGAATAGAATGAAAACCCAGTTCTCATTTAGTTGAATTCGAAAGAGAGGATGCTAAATGATACAAAAAATTCTAGTACCCAACGTAAAAACCCTTCAAGCCCAATATCTTCCTAAAATATCGACATCTTCACCGTTTGTCCGCCCATCCGCACCCTTGCAGGTAGTGGAGCGGGTGTGACAATATCCCATTGGCATTCTGCTTCGCTCTGTGCGTTCCAGGGTCAGCTGGGACTCACGAAAGGACGAAGAACTTACAGAATTCGGCGAAGACCTTGAGCCCGAGCTGAGATGCTTGAGCCGGATCGAGTGTTTCAGACTAGAGCGCACGCTTGAGTGAATACTCGAGTGCTTGAAACGAGGCGGTAGTGAAAGTGAGGCAACCGGATCGAGTTCCTGGCGGTCGTGAATTGGGAACTGCCTTGCGTTGAGCATCGCTAAGAACGAGCCAACGTATACTATAAATGACGACCGTTAGAAATTTTGTAATCAATGTGGAAGATAAAAGAACCATACATCTTGTCAACAAAAACTCCAGTGCGATGAATATGAGCGTGTTTGGCAAAAGTACGTACTAAAACCACTGGTAAGATCAAGCATGAGAAACAATCAGGGTCTTACAGTAAACAACACGGCCAATGAACAAGCACTCGTGACAAGTCCCGAACTGAGGGTATACTGCATCACAGCGGAGATGCACGAATTCAGACTAGATCGATGTTAGATATTATATGGAAAAAGACATCAGATGAACTCACTCGGACTCTGTGCCCCGGCTTTTGCGGAGATAATAGCACATCGCGAACGCCTGCACGAAATCGATAAGTGTGGAGGCCGCCAGGGATGACTCCATCGCCCAAGCCTTATTATCAAACACGAGTGATGAGAACGTTGGCGCGGTGTATCTATATCATCCGATGATTAGCATTTTTCCTCGACTGAAAAGGGTACCGTACATTTCGTATGTTAACGCTGAAACAACGAGTCAGAGGGGCAGTTAACGCGGAAAGAGCACTATCACACACTAACCTATACCGATACCAAAGCCACCTGCGACGCTCAGCGCCGCAAGGTACCGGAGGAACCCGCGGTGGTACCCACTCAGTAACCAAATCCGGAGCGCGTAAAGACTTGAAGCGAAACGGCAATCAACATCCTATCGTCTGTGAGAAATAGAAGTGAGATACCTCTGCACGAAGAGAATGATCACGACCATTATCGCTACTTGTAGCTGGGACAAAAATAGTATCTTAGTTCCGGTATTCGTTAGCCCGGGTTATCCTGGAAAAGTACCTTGATCGACCAAACGATTCCCGGGCCCGCTTCCACCAATCCCCTGCCGCGATTGGCGACGATATAGAAATACATTGCGTGGATAGTGAGCCCGAGGTGGATAGTGTCGAGGAGGTATAAAACGCCCACTGATAGGCGATGGACGATCGTGTCCCGGGGGTAATTGTGGAAGTAGAAATACGCTTGGAGGGTTGTTATCCCGAAAAGACTAGTTGAAACGATAAGCGTGGATTCCGTGGAAGTGTTAAAACAAAGCGGATAACACGCACAAGCATGCACTTAATAATCCCAAGAACACCGCACCCAGGGTGTTGTCGATCGTTTCTGCTACAAGGCTGACGACTGGAGCCATGGCAGAGGTAAAAAGTTAAAGAGTGAAAGAAGGAACGAAACAAATGAGAGTCAGAGAAAACAGATAATGAGGGACAGAGCGATGGGAAGAGGAAGAATAAGTCAGTTGCGGACCGAGCCAACATTTAAACAGAGAAGAACACATGGCTCCGCCGAGCACCTAATTCCCTTTCTTCGTCCTCCTCGGCCTGCTCATGTGGAAATATATATAAATGGGGAGAAATAATAAAAATATCACAACGAGGAACCGTGTCTCTTTGGTAAGTTTTTGCGGACAGACTGAGCGGGAGCGAGGAAATACAC